TGTTGGCTTCCCGTCACTGTCGTTAGGTCTAACTGTGTGCGGTTGTGGTCTTTTCTTAAAATTTGTTCTATAATGTTTTATAACAGAAAGTAGCATCACCTCTATGTGGCATTAATTTGAAGACATTCTTTGTAAGTTTTGAAGATTGTTTGCTTGTTATTTTTATAACGTTTTGCGTTTCCTTTTCCAAAGATAAATGTCGGCAATTAAGTTTTTCTCTACGTATATGTATATTTGTCGTTGAGAGAATAGAGTCAATGGAGGCGGCACTTGTACTTGTATTTTATTTTATAAAATATATTTATTTTTCTTGCTTTTATGTGTAAGAAAAAAAAATATATATACATAAGTATATATAGAATTTATATATGAAGATGTCTCGAAACATTACTTGTTGTGGTTTATTGTTAATTAGCAGGATTCTCTTTTTTTTGCTTTCTTTTTTCTTGTGGAATCAGAAGAAGTATATATCTTCATCTATGCCATCATCATCATTATCAACACTTTGAGAGTGATGAAAAATTAGTATTTAAATGTGTCGGTCTTTTATTTTACCGGAAAGTATGTGTATAGCATTTAGCTAATGTATAATATAAAGGAATATTAGGGTGGCCCCAAAATGGTAGTTCATTTTAGAATAAAATTTCTCAAATTTTTAAATTAATATATGTAAATATTTAAAATACATGTGTAAAACTTTCAATATCTTTGAAATAGGACAAAAGTTGATGATATGCCATTGAAAGCATCACTTATAGATATGAAATCAATAATTTTTCTTCATACAAACAGATGCACACTAATGAATATAGTTTATAATTAAATTAATAATTAAAGTGCAGTATATTTGTGAATAAAATAAATATGGATTAAATTTAAATAATTCAGATAAATTTTTTATTAATGTTCCACCTTATAAGTTTTAAACTAAATATGGACATATGTATAGGTTTGTATATCAATCAAAAATTCTGATTGAATGATTTAAAAAAGCTTTAACATATTTGTTCAATAAACCACAATCGGTGTTATAGGTTGTATGTCGTATTTTTTGTTTAATAAAACAATAATAAAAAATTACCACATACAACTATACAATGCTATAGCACCGATTGTGAATTGGACAATTATTTTTCATACCATTATATTTGCAACTAAATTGCATTATACCATAATCCAATGAATTATTTATGCAAATCTTATATACGATAAACAAATTGCATATTATTTTTTCTACATTCAAATCAACAAACTGTCATTTAAATCAATTCATGTTTTTGAATAAATGCGTGTACATGCATGTGTATATATCTATGTGTATGTAATTCTATGAAAAAATGTAATCAAGTCTAGCATAGAAAAATTAATACTATTGAATATAAATGCATTTATCTATATATAAATAAATCGATATTTTTAAAATTGTATGTATGTGAAAAGTCTACAGTAAGTTAACTGTATATACTTATCTATACCCTACTTATGATATTTAATTATCATTTATTTACTGTTCTCTGATATACAATTTGCACGAAGTTTTTATATCTTTCACCACATTATGATGAATCAGATCGATGGTTTATTGAATTTATACTGATGTTTAGTAAATACAAAAATAATGCCCAACTAAAGTTCCCATAGTCTTGGAATCACTTCTGGATCAATTCTGTCCAAGTAAAACTTGTAACATACTACAAGTTGCAATTTTAAAAACAATTTTATGAAATTTCGTGTTCATATTAACTTTAAGATAACTATCCAATAACTAACTCCAACATTCAACCTAGCACACATACAATCGGACAGCGCAAATAGTGCCTTATAGCTAATATGTATATGAAACTACGTATGTATGTGTCATATTAGACTTAATGACACTGAAAATATTCATAATGATCGGGCCTCATTTGACTCTAGACCTCATATAGACCTCCTTTAATATCAACGTTCATAATTATTTTTTATATAAACACGAATCCTCCACCTAACCCTATATATATAGATTCTTTCAGAAAATAATTTTTTATATCAACAAATCTCTTAAAGCAATGTACAATTCAATATAAATATTTTATATTAATTAGATACATTTTATTCAGGCTCGAGTTCGTGGGTTCGATTCCTGTCCATGGACAGACAAATTTTGGTTCCATTTTTTTATTAGGACCAGCACTTGGGGGATGACCTCTACTCATGAAGTGCATTGTGTTGGAACTAGGAACGAATTCTCTCTGTAGTGCATTGTGCCATTCACTGGACAATCGATCACAAATAGAACTCATTCCAGAATAGTGAAACGCACCCCACATTGAAACGATGTTTCAGTGAATCAATGGAGTTGGATCCCCTACTGTCACTGATAAATACCTTCGCCCTCTCCTGTTTGCGGTATAAGCTTTGAAGCGCCGGCCCCTACATGAGAGAATGCATTTTCGGGCCAGCTACGGATCCTCATCAGAATTCTTCGTGCCATATTTTAATGTCATTTGTAAACATCATCTATTTAACTCACAAGTATACAAATCCTTTATCCCATTTAATTCAACTTTATGGTGAGTTATATCGAAATTTACAAGCTTATTCAGTGGTATGTATTCGTATTGAAAATGCATTTCATTTCTCCGTTGGCACCTTTCCAATTTTGAATAAGACAGCTTTAGAGGCAAAGTAAGCCCTACCATTATTATTGGCAAGACTAGCCATAGAGTTCCTATTACAAATAAATTTCCCTCAGGTTCTTCTTTCCTGTAAAAGACATAACATTTTTCCAAGGCCAGCTCAGTATTTTGACCACCAAAAATTTCCAGTATATATACGTTCATTTGTCAGTTTACTGCACCATCCTTTTATGTAGACAATGGACTTAAAGAGCACAGAAAGTTCGCTCTTCTTTGCTGGTCCCAGCTTAGCATGGTCCAAAGGAGGAGGAATACTTTTCACCAAGTTCTTTAGGGTGCTAACACATTGGTGAGATACCAATCTTATCAACGCCCATGCCGAACTCGCAGCTCACGTTCTCTATTACGTGGTCCACTATTTTATTGTTGACCAGGTCTTCTATTTTATTTTTTGGTCTATTGGAATTTTGCCTGTCGGATTACCGGCATCGATCGTCCCGATAACTTCTTCTGTCAACTTTGTCCTTTTACACTCTCTAGCTTATATATCCTCGTATTTTGTGGTTTCTTTTGAGATACCCCAAACTAAAGCTGAGAGAAGACAGATGGTCCATCACCACCCCCTCTCCACCACCCGGATGCGCTTGGTAAGAAAAACGGGAAAACTCTCCCGAGTAATACTTAAAATAAATATTTTATTACACCGTCCGACAAAAAGAGAAAAAATTTTAAAATATTTTTTGAAAAATGTACTTCTTACAACTTTGAAGTCCTTTAAAAAGGACACAGAATTACGAAATGAAAAACTAACAAAGCAGTTTTTCTCCATTAAATTTATAGTTTCAGACGTATATCATCCGGTTCGTGTCTAATTTTAAATGTCGGACGGTATTATAAAAATAAATCTAGTTTAAGATGCAGTATAACTAGCATAGGGTATCATATTGTCGTCTATGTCCAACTATACTTTCTTACTTGTTCCATTTGTATTTCAGACGTTTAATGTGGCTTCTGATTGACATTATCGATTTATATTGTATTCTCCGAATAAAAATAATATTAAAATATTTGTTTGTACATTAGAGGTGTCCAAATGACACAATTTAATAAAATTTAACGCAAGTAGGTTTTGGACACTACATTCGTTACGCTCCTAGCAAAATAAATTTCTTTTGAATAATTCAAATTTGTTTCAAAATGGCGTAACTTATTTGATTATTACTTAATATCGTATTTTTAAAAGTAAACTAACTACAAAGGTAAACAAATCTTACAATTAGCTTCTAATGGACCAATTTTAGATTTTGAAAAAATATACATATAAAGAAGTTAATAACTTTTTCATCTAGGAAAATAATATAATTTTTAATTTACACAGTTTAAATGTCATATTAAAATTAAATTAAGTTTTTATTATGACATGTAAATGACATTTTTATATGTATGTATTACTGGTCAATAAATAAAAAAATATAGGACAAGTAAAAAGGCATACATAATTATTTGACGAGTTGTTCAATATGTTACAAATGACAAGACAATATTACTGTACGACATTTTACACCCAACATACTTTGCTAAACTATGTATATGAAATTATGTACTGAAAACTTTTTCATGTCAATCTGACAAATAAATCTACTTAATATTACGCATGTAATAATTTTACAAACGTTTTTTTTTTTATTTGAATTCTCAACATAATAAAAACAATAAGGAAAAGAAAATAAAAACATAAAGAGCTGTATTCATAAAGGATTAATAAAGTTATTAAGGGTTTATTTGAAGAATTTTGTGTTGATGACTTTATGAAAGTGAATGAATTTTTAAAAAATCAATAACGAAGAAATTTTAACATAATACTATATTAAGCGGCAATAAGCTACTACACTTGGTACCAGCTTAGTAATAAAAAATGCTCCTGTATTACTTATATGTTGCATAGTTATTAACAAACCCATTATATTCACCTATTAAAATAGAGTACAAAAGAATTACATAATATTTCAACTCTTTTATGTCAAAAAATGAAATAATTTAATTCACTTTTCGCTTGTCAGTCAAGTGAACTGTAACAGTTTAATACACATGCATACTTTCACACAAAAACATACATAAACAGGATGCAAATGATGTTTATAAAACAACAGTTAAAAATAAAAAAATAGTTAATTCACACAAACAAGTAAAAATAAAATAAAAAAATAAAAAACACTTGAACAAGTTGTCTGACAGCAAATTTAAACTGTGGTCAATACAAAAACTGAAAAATACAAAAAAATATTCCATAATTAAGCAATTTAATTAAAAATTCTGTAAGCATATTAAACAATTTATTAATTTTTTTTTTTTTTTTTTTCATTTTTCCAATTTCAATTGCAGTTTTGATGTACGGGGGAGACCTTTCGAGAAGGCTTTGTATTGGTCTGATACAAATTCATTTGGTCCCCGAGCTTATTTCGTGACAAGCAAACAACCTGCCAAATTACAAGTTGACAATATACAATTAGACGATGAGGGAGTGTATAGATGTCGTGTTGACTTCCAAAATTCACCTACACGGAATCATAGAATAAATTTAACGGTTATTGGTGAGTAGTATTTATTGTTGTATTCGAGTTCCTTTTTGTAGCAACTTAAAATAATACATACATACATAAAACAAAACATCCCAGCAAAAACCTTCAATTGTAATTACTTACGTAACAACATACTTTTCAATGACTACTACATATCGCCTGAATTACATAGAAGTAGTCTAATAAGGTCTTACTAATAATGTATTATATAAATACTTTCTAATTCATTAGTCATCTTGCCAGTAAAAATATCGAAACAAAATTGGAAATATTCAAAAGTCCATCCAAGTAAATCTTTCTATCAATTTAAAAAAATGACTATCACAAGATTAGTTTTAGCCAACTTTTTCGTATATTTTTTTTTTTTGAAAATCTGGACGCACCATAACTTTTTTACTTGTGTGGTTTTGCATTAAATTTATGCAACAAATTATTTATAGTATTTTCTTTAATGTTTAACTCTTTTATTTCAGTTCCTCCACATCAAATCTTGGTATACGATGCATCGGGTCGAGATGTTGCCGGTGCAGTGGGTCCTCTATTTGAAGGCGACAATATTGTGCTGACATGTGAAGTTCGTGGTGGTAAGTAAAACGGTTTTTATATATTTTTCAAATTTATATATACAGTGCTGGTCATAGATATGATAACAGTTGACCAATTTTGTTGTTGTTATTTTAGCTTTCTAAAGCTTTTATAATAAGTTGGTATTACCAAAGATTAGATCTCACTATTTGTTGAATATTAAACAAAAATTATTTTATATTTTATATTAAATGTTCAATAATAAACTGCTGCATCTGTGTGGTGCCATGACCACATTCAAAATACACATTAATTCGGACACCGTAGAAGAAATAGCTTCCTCAAATTTTTGTAGAACTACCTTAAATAGTGAACATATATATATGCAAGTTATTTAAGAAGAAAAAAATACTTCATACTTTAATATATGGGGTCAATAATACCCGGACTTACGAAGGTGGATTTTATTTATTTCGGGTAGCGAAGCATATTGGGTATAGCTGGTAAACTGCAAAAACCACAAAAACAGTTTAACGTATATTTTTTTAATTTTTGTATTTTCTTCTTACTGATTTTGACCTGCAGACATATGCGGTGTCGTAAATCTTTTAAAAAGTCTCTAAAGATATGAATGTACAAACATGGACAAACAAACTTACACATAAACAAAAACTGAATATACAAACAAACATAATATTTATTAGACCTGTCCTCCAAAAAGTAATGCTTCAAATAAATTTAAATCAAAGAATTTATTTAAATGATATTCATAATGCAAGTTATCGAGCAGGAATATATTGTTAATTTTGTTCTTTAAAAAACTTTAAGAGACTAAGTAACAAAAATAAACTCTTTCAATAAAATTTTTTAAGGACCTTTATAATATTAATCTATATTTATATATGTAGTATTTTGTGTAAGTGTTTAAAAAGCTGGAAAAACTTTACGAAAAAAAAAAACGTTGTTACAATATAAAATATTGAAAAATTACTGCATTACTTGGCAAACAGCAGTAGCGGCAACTATAATATTATACATTCGTGTACAATTTTTCTGGCTATAAACTTATGCTTCATGTAGAGCCATTCTCCAGCATATTATTTTTAACTAGCAGCAGCCAACATTAGAGGTGTAGGACCTACACTGTAGGTATTTTATACACTATACTATACAGACCTAAAGTCGTGTAGTGTACTGGGTACTATAAATCATAATTTTTCTGACAACATTTCAGGGACTATGTTGTGTTTTTGTGTATATTTAAGTATTTGTAGTAATATATATAAAGCAGCGGTGTCTGTGCATAATAAGTTTTAAAATTTTATTGCAACACATGGAATTAATATGAATGTTATTTTCTTGTATAATTTTATTACGATTTTTTTTCAACTTAAAAAATTATAAAAAGAAATATCTAAGATATTTAAATTTATGGTATTTTATTTAAAATAAATATTAGAATAAATTATATAAGATAATTATGGTTTTAGATTTATAAAAAAATATATTTTGTTTGCCAATTTTTTTCTTTTATATATCATTTTAGTTATGTATGTGTAACTGCAACCAACAAAAAAACTAACTAATTTAAACATTTTTCTATGAAGATGGAAGGAAATTTAATAAATTTAAATTTGAAAATATTTGGTATAATTTTAAATATGCACAGAAAATCTAACATAATTCATAAGAACCCGTGTGGTTCTGTATTCTGTATAGATATACTAATTTCTGAAAACTAACCGTTTTCGCAGAATTTTATCTTAATACCATATTTTTTGAAGATATATACAGAATTTTCTCGCTAATTCAGTATTTTTACTCTACTCCACATTATGGAGGCGGTATATTGGATTTGAGCCTTAAAATATTAGACCTATACCTACCTTAAAGTATGCCGATCAACATGCCCGCCTATCTGTCTGTAAGTCCATGATAACATTGAAATAAATTGCCTAAATATATCAGAAAAACTGTAAAATTCGAGATGTAGAGTAAAATTGTTTTCCGATTTTTGTTAACGTACTGGATCCGTTAACATAGTTATGGGCTCAAAAGGCCTATCAAGGGAGTACGGTTATAATTGCCACAGTATCGTGCGCACAAGCTTTACATGGACACACAGACAGACAAACGGACATAGCTATCGACTCAGAAAGTGATTCTGAGCCGATTGATATACTTTAAGGTGGATGTAGGACTAATATTTGTGGGTGTTACAAACATCATTATAGTGGTGTAGGGTGTAATTATAAAAAATAAAACATACAAACTCCGAAAATTAACCAATTTTTTTCACTGAATATTGACAAAAGGAAATAAGTTTTGTGAAACAGAATCCTGAAATAAACTAAACTTTCGGTTCAGCTCTACACCTTTTTTTTCCAATAGAAACGAAGCAATACTATTTTTCTTACATAAATATATGTACATATATACATATATTAATGTCACCCGTTTGTATGGAGAAAAATAAGGTACTGCCTTCCTTTAGGAAACGTTGTCAATATTTGGTAAGCTAAGTCAAAGGATAAAAACGTAAGATATTTAAGTCAGGCGAGTCCGACCGTTAATACCCTTCACCAATTAGAGAATAAAATGTGATTTAAGTTGAATTGTACTTGCCTCCGGTATACTTAAGCAATTTATTGTTAAAATCTAATTTTCTGAAAGAGGCTTTATATGGTGACTTTGGGGAAATGTGGACCGATCCTCATAAAATTTCGTGGATAAATTTACGGCAACATAAACTGTATTTATGTTAAATTTCATCGCGGCATCAGCCTTATAAAGCCAGATAATTTCAAAATTCATAAGAATCATCAAGGATAGCATAAAACTTAGTTGTGCCCCTTTTGGTACGAGTATAGTAAACATAATCAAAAGGTGAAGTAGTGGACTGATGTTAACAATAGGGGTTGTCCCTGATACAATAGAAGACCATATGTCAAATTTCAACGATTATCTTTAAAATTGCAACCTTTAGTTTGATTACAAAATTTACTTGGATAGACCGACGGGCATAGCCAAATTGACTCACTTGAAAGTGGTTATAAGAACTATATTATTGTGCGTTACAAATAACAGCTCAAACTCAATATACCCTCCCCACTGAAATAGTGTAGGTTAATTAAAAAGTAAACATAAGATTGGGAAGAAAATGGGATTAGAACAATGAAAATCACATACATATTTTAAGCACCTTTTCCATGGTACCAATTTGATATATATATGCTCCTTGAAAAATACGCTAAAAATCATAAATCCTTTTTATCTTACTGGCTAAACATTGGAGTTAGGACAACAATTTTAAAAAATAAAAATAATATTTTACAATGAACTAAAACTCCATTTTTGGCTGCAATATCAGCAAAGTCAATTTTGGGACCACCCTAATGTACATATATGTACATACATATAAGTAAAATATTCTAGCAAAGTATTTCTAATTCGTTGTATATTGAAAACCAACTGTAACTGACGTTAAATCCTAACAACTAAATACGGTTTACGTGGTATATTTTATACTTTCAGCACTTTACACAATCGTTTGATGCACACTCATATAAATATGTATGAATTGGTTTTTTATATGTATGTACATATTTTATTTCACTTTGTATTCTTGTCTGTATATGTTTAAACAATTGTGTACTAGGATACCGGTTAAACCTTTATTTGTTAGTAGCAATTGCAAAAAAAAGAACAACCGGAAACTCATATAGCGCGCAATGAAATATTTTACACGAAAAATTTGCTCCACAAAAAATCTGCTATTGAATTAATAAATTACTTACAATTCTATTTTTTTATAGCAATTTATATTGCTTAATTGCAATTTAATTTAGTGATTTTCCAATAAAAATACTATGAAATCAAAATTAAGTTGAACTCCTAGGACTTTTTTCGGTATAACATTCAATTGATTTTCGTGTTGAGCATTTTTGTAGCGACTGTGAGGAGCCGTTTGGTTGTTGCAGCATTTCAATTTCATAGAAATTTGTAAATTAAGATTTATTGTTAAATAATTCGCACAAAGAAAAATCACAATCTAATGTAATTGATACACTTTTTTTGCTGTTTGTTTTTGTGAAAACGAAAAAAAAAAATCTTGTTGTAGATTAAAATCTTATTTGTAACAAATTATTTTGTAGATTTATAGCATTATCATGATTGTATTCAGATCAAATAACTAGAAAGGAAGATTAAATGAAAGAAAAACTTAACTGACGAGCTGTTGCTAAGTATATTAAAAATGTACACTTTGTTTAAATTAAAAAGTAATAGCAAGTAAAAATGTTCGTTTAAAACTATTAAATAACCACAGCTTTAAGATTTGGAAAAGTCTTTCAATTGATATAAGAAAAATTTGTTAATTTTGTTAATAACCTTTATTTTCAGTCTAATTCTCGATCTAATTTTTTTAGAACAAACACAACTCTTATATGTAGATTGTTTATAATTTACTAGCATACCCTGGGTGCTTCGCTACCCTAATCAAAATTAAGTACATACAAAATTACATTTAAATTTTATTTTCAATATCTATGTTCAATATCGTAAAAATATCAAAAAGTACCACCGAAAAAACGAAAAAGTACAAAAATCTCTCTCAATAAATTCTCATTTAATAAGGACCGAGTGTCATGTGTTCCGGTTAACCATTATATAGAATCTAAAAGGTACCATTTGAAGAATAGAAAAGTACCAAAGAGTTCCCACTTACAGAATATTATTCAGTCAAGACCATGTACGTTAAAATTTTTGTTCCTAGGTTGAATATTTTAGAAATTTCAAAAAGAACCATTTATGAGATAAAAAGTACTAAAAAGTTTTCTCTTAAAGAATCTTATTCAATGCGGACCGTGTATGATTAATAATAATGTGTTTTGAATTCATATTATAGAACATACAAAGAGTATCATTTGAAGAGAGAAAAAGTACCAAAAGTGGAATAAATTTTACCTTAGTGGAAAGTACTAATAAAAAGAGTACAATTTTTCCCCTTTTCGCTTAGAAATATACTTTTTCGAGAATTAAGTTTACAAATTATTCCGTATTTAAATCTATATATCACAGATAAAACTCAAACGATTCAAATCTGAATTTATTTGTTTCAGAAAAATTGTGCTTTCAAAAAGTACCAAATAATTTACTCATATTTGGTCAAATATAGGCCTTAGTACTCGAATTCCAAAATAATATACCAATAGCTTATTTTGTAATAAACTACTTTTTCAAATTTTATAAAAATTGTCTCAGTCAGTTTGAATAAAACTAAATTTTCCGTTTTTTTCCCTTTTTGGTACTTTTTTCCCCAGTGAAATAGCAAAAATGTTGTTTCAATAAATATTACAGAGTTAGTCCGTAATTTAATAGGAATACTTCAAAAAATCGAAAAAGTTTTATAAGTGTGCAAAAAAAAGTACCAAAAATACAGTTTTCTTCCTTTTACACCCAAAATGGCCTGAATTTTAAAAAAAGTACGAAACAGGTGTCTCCTAATTTTGGGAGTTATATTCAAAATATTTACAAAAATGTTATATTGTTTATTAGTTAAAATGTTATAAAGGGCCAAAAAAAGGTACCAAAATCACATTTGTTACACATTTTTACCCCTTAAAAGTACAAATTTCCAAAAAGTACCAGACACCCATCTACTTATGTTAAGAGTAGATGCAGGTGTATTTAAAATTTTTCTTGTATCACTAATATAAGGTAAGATTATTAAGAAACCCTGTTTTACCCGTTTTTCCCTTTTTTGCCCGTAAATGTACAAATTTCCAAAAATCCCTCCTTAATGGATCTACATAACCAAAAACACATCTACTGTCAAAATATCATGATTCTGCGACGATGAATCAGTCAGTCAGTAACGCCACTCTTTTATGTATATAGAATAGATTATAAAATTCTATAAATAGTCTTTTGGGATTAATAATTTAATTATCCTTCTCCTTTTTTATAAAATAAAAATAACTAAAATTTATAGTTTCATTAACCTTTTAAGATGTATACTCAGTCTACAAAATTTCTATAAACTCATAATTTAAACCACATTTTACAATTTTGTCTAATACTTCGTTCTTTATAGAATTTTTTAAAACTAAACCATTGCCATTTACAAAATGTTCCCTTTTGTCAACAAATTAAAATAGAAAACAATAATTATACTCATATTTAACAACTTTTTTTGGGTCTAAATAATTTGTTAATTTTCGTATGTCAAAGGTTGCGGCACTGTCATATATTTAAATTTTACAACAATCAATCTGACTTATTACACACACACACACACAAACTTATTTATACACTTTATACATATTTTACCCAATTTTTATTTAATGGGGTAAGAGTATTATAATGACCAAATCCCTAAGGCCTTTAATGTTTATGTCACACAGCTAAAGTCATAAATCTTTTTATGCTTTTGCCTTTTAGTTGCTAAAAATATGAAATTTTACTTAAAAATGTTTTGCTCTTGATTTCAATTGTTTCATCTTAAATACTCTTTTTTTTTCTAATGTAGACATTATATTTCGGTCAGACAAAGAACAAAATTAAAAATTAGACCCTAATTAAAATTTATTATATTCTGGGGAGGGTTTTTTCAGCTCTTACTAATAATAAAAATATTCATAATTCTTATTGTTTAAAGTTTAAACATTAGATTTTATTAATTTTATAAAATGAGATATATTTTACTTTTTTTGTTTTAAAGTTATAAAATTAAATAGTGAATGAAATTTAATAGTAAAATGGAATAAAAATGCGACAAACAATGGTAAAAATAATGTTGTTTTAATTTTTTTTCCCTTATAAATACACTTTGAAATTGAAACATAAACCAGCTTTTAATCCTTTCACTTTATTACTTACTGAACTTTGCTCCCATACAAAATATTAATATATTCATTATTTTTTGTATTTTATTTACAGGTCGTCCCGAACCTGTAGTAACATGGATGAATGGCACGCAACAATTGGAATCCGGTAATGGTGTTTCAATGGGACGTCATGTAACCGTCAATCGTTTAGAAGTTCCGCACATAACACGTTCAGCATTGAACAATACCTATCGTTGCCAGGCTTCGAACACCAAATTAGTACCACCAGTGGAGCGCAGTATTCGAATTGATATGTTGCGTAAGTACATTTTTTTTTATAAATAAGTAGAATAAGTGGGAAACTGTAAAAGGGTTATTAAATCAAAAATATAAGTTCAAAGGTTGTCTGGGCTTTTAGTTGGTTAAAATAAAAATTAATCATGCTACTTTTACAAATGGCCTTTTTTTGTTTAATACCTTTATAGCTATGAACTAAAAGACCATTGACTGTGCTAAGGCTTTATGGCTATTGCGTGTTAAAGTTGCACTACGTAGTTGCGTGCTTTTATGGACATAACATTTAGCCAACAAGTTTGTTAATATATTGCACATTTTAACCTCTTTTTTTTTGTTATTGTAATCTGGTCTTAACTGAGCCCCCACTTTAAGATTTTTTAGCACTCATTTTTGTTGGTAATGATTTTTAAATGCATACCGTAGTTAAGATTGTTGATAAGGTTATTTTTTATTTTTATTTTTTAATAAAATTGAAAATTTTAACATTTTTAATTATGATTTTTGTTTTCTTTTTGCAGTTAAACCGACATCTGTTAATCTGACAAACAAGCAAAAAGTTTTCTCAACGGGCACTCAGTACAACTTGACCTGCATAGTGGAAGGTTCTGTGCCGGATACAGAAATAAAGTGGACACAAAATAATCGTCCATTTAAGAGAGGAACGGTAAGTAGCATTTCAGTTGAACAATTACTTAAGTGAATTTTAAGACACATTTGTGTCAAGGTCTTAAGGATTTTATTTTCCTTAATGGACTATAGTGTAAATAAATCAACCTTATGTATTGAATACCCAAATATAATGGAACTATACCAGGCATGAAAAATTAAAATTTTGAAATGGTACTAACTTATAACAAATTGAGTACCTTTTTTCACAATCAAACTTGATAATAGACTAGACTATAGACTACATTACAGACAAGCATTGACTTTAGCATTGTCTATAGTCTATTGACTTCTCCATAATCTGCAGTCTTGTCGATAGACTAGTCTGTAGTCTATATATACTATCGACTAGATTCGACTATAGACTAGACTATAGACTAGACTATAGACTAGACTATAGACTAGACTATAGACTAGACTATAGACTAGACTATAGACTAGACTATAGACTAGACTATAGACTAGACTATAGACTAGACTATAGACTAGACTATAGACTAGACTATAGACTAGACTATAGACTAGACTATAGACTAGACTATAGACTAGACTATAGACTAGACTATAGACTAGACTATAGACTAGACTATAGACTAGACTATAGACTAGACTATAGACTAGACTATAGACTAGACTATAGACTAGACTATAGACTAGACTATAGACTAGACTATAGACTAGACTATAGACTAGACTATAGACTAGACTATAGACTAGACTATAGACTAGACTATAGACTAGACTATAGACTAGACTATAGACTAGACTATAGACTAGACTATAGACTAGACTATAGACTAGACTATAGACTAGACTATAGACTAGACTATAGACTAGACTATAGACTAGACTATAGACTAGACTATAGACTAGACTATAGACTAGACTATAGACTAGACTATAGACTAGACTATAGACTAGACTATAGACTAGACTATAGACTAGACTATAGACTAGACTATAGACTAGACTATAGACTAGACTATAGACTAGACTATAGACTAGACTATAGACTAGACTATAGACTAGACTATAGACTAGACTATAGACTAGACTATAGACTAGACTATAGACTAGACTATAGACTAGACTATAGACTAGACTATAGACTAGACTATAGACTAGACTATAGACTAGACTATAGACTAGACTAGACTATAGACTAGACTATAGACTAGACTATAGACTAGACTATAGACTAGACTATAGACTAGACTATAGACTAGACTATAGACTAGACTATAGACTAGACTATAGACTAGACTATAGACTAGACTATAGACTAGACTATAGACTAGACTATAGACTAGACTATAGACTAGACTATAGACTAGACTATAGACTAGACTATAGACTAGACTATAGACTAGACTATAGACTAGACTATAGACTATAGACTAGACTATAGACTAGACTATAGACTAGACTATAGACTAGACTATAGACTAGACTATAGACTAGACTATAGACTAGACTATAGACTAGACTATAGACTAGACTATAGACTAGACTATAGACTAGACTATAGACTAGACTATAGACTAGACTATAGACTAGACTATAGACTAGACTATAGACTAGACTATAGACTAGACTATAGACTAGACTATAGACTAGACTATAGACTAGACTATAGACTAGACTATAGACTAGACTATAGACTAGACTATAGACTAGACTATAGACTAGACTATAGACTAGACTATAGGACTAGACTATAGACTAGACTATAGACTAGACTATAGACTAGACTATAGACTAGACTATAGACTAGACTATAGACTAGACTATAGACTAGACTATAGACTAGACTATAGACTAGACTATAGCTAGGACTATAGACTAGACTATAGACTAGACTATAGACTAGACTATAGGACTAGACTATAGGACTAGACTATAGACTAGACTATAGACTAGACTATAGACTAGACTATAGACTAGACTATAGACTAGACTATAGACTAGACTATAGACTAGGACTATAGACTAGACTATAGACTAGACTATAGACTAGACTATAGACTAGACTTTAGCCTAGATATAGGCTTGACTATGGACTAGACTATAAACTAGACTACACTATAAGCTTGAGTACGGACTAGACTATAGACTATACTATAGACTTGATTAAACTATAGACAAGCTTTAGACTATAGTCTTTATCTTTTTCCACAGTCTTGTCTATAGTCTAGACTGCAGTCTATATATAGACTATCGACTTGACTACAGACTGGTCTATTGACTACAATCAAAAGTTTATAAGTTATAAGAAAAAGTACCAAAAATATTGTTTGGGTACATCTGAAAGAAGTAAAAGTATACCGTTCATATTGTGGTGTGGGATATAAAAAAACATTATTTTCTATCTTTTTCTTATTTAAGAAATATTTCTTAAATATGTTATACCTTTATAGTTAATAATTTTAATAAACATCTTCCTCATTTGAATTTCAGTTATCTACATCCCAAATAAATGGTAAAGTTCTATCTACACTCACCTTTAATCCACAACCAGAAGATGATGGCACCCTACTTAAGTGTGAGGGATCAAACCCACGCTTACAAAATTCAGCTTTAGAAGACTCTTTAATGCTCAATGTCATGTGTAAGTAAATTTTACAACATTTCTAAAAGTATTTATTTAACAAAATATACAAATAATACATAAATAATTCCAACAAATAAATTCCACCAAGTAAAACTTTTGTCATAAATCTTTAAACTAAATGTACCCCTCATACATGTTAACATTGTCGATGTTTTGTTTTTTTCTGTGCAACATATATACTTTTTTTAGCAAACACATTAAACTCTGCTGCTGCTGTATATTTGCAAATGATGATAAAGTTGTCATCGCTAGATACATAATCATAAATTTATTGTTATAAAGACTTTAAACATAAATTTTCAAACAACACCAACAACATGACCCCCATTCCCCCGAAATAAAAAGTGAAATAATAAACACCTACTATACGAACAGAAGTAACAATTTCAACAACAATTTTCCAGCATGAGGCTGATAAGGAAAAATCTAGATAAAATATGAAACATTTCAATTGTATTGTTTTTTTTTTTTTTGCCATTTTGTTTTATTTGTTTGTTTGCTTTTTGATATGATTTAATATAATAAATTTTAATTTTAAGCATGAAAAGAAAGTTAGGGGCTATAAAATAGAACATATACATACATACATATATATGTACTTATGTGTGTATATATAGTTGTGTTTAAACTCGTATGTATATGGATTAAACATTGTTGCAGATAAATACTATATAAGTAGAATCTGCAATCGCTTAAGGCAGTAGGTTATAGTGGTAAATTTGAAAATGAAAATATATATTTAAGAAACGAAATAACATTTGTAGAATATATTTCAAGGTTAAGAATAATTATTAAGAATTGAATTTTCCAATGAGAATTTAGTTGAAATTTAAACATTAAACTTTATATAAATATTTAAGAAAATATCAAATATATAAATTTACAGATAATTTAATATAACAACTATATTTACAAAGAATGAACTAGTGAAAAATGAATGAAATGAACTAGTGAAAATTTAATTTTTAATTAAAATTCGATCTTCTAGTTAGAATTTGTTGTTCTTGTTATCTTCTTGCAACGATTTGTTCTTTTAGTTAAAATTCCATTTTCTGGTCATAATACCATTTTGAAATGACAAATTTTATGTTTTTTAATGAAACATTTTTCTAGCATGAATTTGACTTTCAAAAGAGTATTTCTTACAAATATAAGTTTTTTCCATTAGAATACGGTTTGTTATACTAGATTTATAAAATATTTCTTCTTTTCGGGGGGCCTTTAGCAAATATTTCCATGTTTATATATTTTCCCGTCTCTTTGCATATAAAAATAAGTCAAAAACAAGTAAGAAAGTATAGTCGGGCGTGGCCGACCATATGATACCCTACACCAGTTATGAATATTAAATATGATTTATTTTTCATAATAAAGCATTTATCTTCAATATTCCCTTGTTCCGATACATTTAAGCAATTTATGGATGAAAAACTAATTTTCTGAAAGAGGCTTTATATGGGGGCTAGGGGCAAATATGGACCAAGCCCGATAAAATTTTGTGAATATATTTATATTTACATAATATTTTATTGTGCTGAATTTCATCGCGATATTTGTGTTTATAAGTTAATTTGGGACATTCAAGTAATTTTCTGAAGACGACTTTGTATGGGAGCTATGGTCAAATGGGGCCCGATCTTTATGAAATTTGGCAGGGTCATCAATACTTCTATAAAACTTAGTTGTGCCATATTTTATCGATATATCTGTATATTTAACATAATTATGAGCTCAGAAGCCCTTTTCGGGGGTTCTGTGGGGGCTAAGTGAAATAATGTACCGATTTTAACCATTTTCAATAGGATTCATCCTTGGGTCAAATAAAACGTGCGTGCCAAATTTCATCCAATTATCTTGAAAATTGCGACCTGTACCTTGCGCACAAGGTTTACATGGACAGCCAGCCAGCCAGACGGACGGACGGACGGACATAGCTTAATCGACTCAGAAAACGATTCTAAGCCGATTGATATACTTTAAGGTGGGTCTAGGAAGAATATTTTTGTATGTTACAAACATCATCACAAATCCAATATACCCTCCCCACTAAAGTGGTGTAGGGTATAACAAGTAAGAAATTATAGTCGGGTGAGGCTGACCATATAATACCCTACACCTGTTACAAAAAAATGTGATTTAGTTTTCATAAATAAAGTTGAATTGTACCTTGCCTCAGATATACTTAAGCCATTTATTTTTGATTAAAATTGTGGTCATTTAAGTCAAAGTTTGAAGGGGGCTTTGTATAGGGGCTATGATCAAATGAGACCCTATAACTATAAAATTCATGAGGGTCATCAAGGCTAGTATAGAACTTGGTTCTGCAGCTTTTTCGAGATACGAGATACAAATATATTAAACATAATTGTGAACTTAAAAGTCCTATTCGTCGGGTTCAGTTGTATTGGGGCTAGGTGAAATAATAGACCGATTTTAACCATTTTCAATAGACTTTGTTCATGGGACAATAGAAGATTATGTACCAAATTTAATTGAATTATCTTTAAAATTGCGATCTGTAGTTTGATTACAAGGTTTACATGGACGGACGGACATAGCTAAATCGTCTCAGAAAATGATTCTAAGCCGATTGGTATAATTTAAGGTATACCAATATTATTGTGCGTTACAAACATCAGCACAAACCCAATATACTTCCCTCCCCACTAAAGTGGTGTAGGGTATAATTAAAATCCCTTTATCACCAACACATTTGCTGGTCGTAATATTTTGGCTTGAAAACAAACTACAACATTTTATGGCACATTTGAAAACCATTTAAATCTACATGTATTTGTCATGTCAAAATATTAAGGAATTAAATAAATTTGTTGTGTGAAATTCTTAAGAGGAGATAGAGCATACACTGAAAGTTAAGCATATATTAATGGTTAGAATTTTTTAAATTACAAATTAATTTTATTGTATCTAATTTTGAAAGTAATTTTTTGTTAAAAATTTATCAGCTAATGGAAACACAGTTCTGTTTTAATAAAACGACCTCAAAGTCCGAACAGCTCAGCTTTAAATTTGAATCAAGTTGGCATATAAAATATACATAATTTATATTTTTTATATTATCAAATTTATTTTTCTGATTTTTTACGTTTTTTTCAGTGTAGTACAAAATTCATCGAAAAATTTCATTTCACAAAATTTTTGGAAAAAGTTGTTTGCCATTTTGATTATTGTTTCTTTTTTTTGAACACATTTTTTTAAATAACAACACAAAACTTTTGCTTAATTTGCATTTTATTGTTTTTATTTTTTGTTTATTTCCCCTGTGGCTAAACATGAGTTATTTGTTTAAAAAAAAAATACATTCTCTTTGTATTTGGCACAATAAAATATAAACAGAAAATGGCAATTGATGTTAAAAACAAAATTTTTTTATAACCAAGTACCTAAATGTTATGGTATGGCATGAAGTTTTTATTTCATAAGCCGGACTTAGTTTTTATTTTCAGCACCAAGTTGACGAAAATTTTGGAATTGTTTTATTCAAAGCGTGAATATATCAGGTATAACTATGTATTTATGTCATAGCTGATTCATTCTAAGCAGTGTAATGCTTACCGTACATTTCCTGTTAGTGCTGAAAACACAACTATAAAATGTTTGTTAAAGATTACGATTTTTCACACAACTAATGTTTCAAAGTTTAAAAAAGTCATTTTTAAAAATATTTTTTTTCCTAGAATTTTTTAGTTAATTTATAGCATATATACATTTACATATATATACATTTGAGCAAATAGTTGTTATTTGTATGACAATTTTTAGTTTTTCCTATACATACATATTTTACTATCTTTAAAAAAATATTTTGCTTAGAGATAGTCATTGAAAAAATATTATTTTTTGTTAAAAATAAATAAACGAAAATAAAATACTAAAAAATAAACAACAAAACAAAAAATGCATTCTATTGAATTGTGTTGACAGCGTTTCAGTTCTTACGGCGCTAAAATGTTGCAGTTATTGTGTGAAAAAATAAACAAAATATAAAATTGTTTTTAAAATATACATATTGAGTTGTTTTTCTATAAACATTTTTCAGTATTAAATTGTTCCATTTTAAAGTTCAAGTTTTTACAGTGTTAATTTGATGGTCTATGGAAAATTTGATATTTTTTGTGAATATTAAATTTTTTGTAAAAATTAAATTATCTGACAAAAATTCTAATTTTTTAATAAAAATTCAGGTCAAATTTTCTATTTTCTATTGAAAATTCTTGTCAAAATTGGAAAATCTTATGAAAAATAGATGAAATAATGAAAATTCTATTTTTCGACAGCCGGTTCTACGTACCGGAATGACCCGAAGTAATCGCTCAAGGGCTGCCAGCCCCAGCAACTTGTGTAGTACACTATTTTCTAGTAAAAATAGGTGTTTTATTGTGTTTTGGGAAAAATGAGCTTTTCTAACAAAAATTGTATTTTGTGATAATATTCGAATTTGTAATTAATTTTTCTTTTTAAACCCTACACCACTATAATGCAGAGGGTATACACCTACTTAAACAATAACAACATTTAGTTGGATGATAACTAGCAACAATACATAATCGAAATATCTTATTCCAGTTTTAAACGTTCTCTTCTGGCTTTAGGGTATAGTAGGATTTAGAATCATTTTCTGAATCGATTTAGCGATGCCGTCCATATAAACCTTGTAATCAAATTAAAATTTTCAAGTTAATTTGATGAAATGAAATTTTCTAACATAAATACGATAGTTTAGTAAAAGTATGACTTTATAATCAAAAATTGATTTAAATTTCAAAATTCAAATAACTTACCAAAGCACAGTGGGGCAGAATGGAAATTTTTTGGAAATAAATCTGGCATTTCTAAACGGCTGATCCGATCGGGATAAAATTTGGCGTGAGCGTAGCCAAGGAGTATTCGAGTTTAAGTTTTGAAGATGAACCCTACAGATGCCCCAGGGACGGCGCTGTGGCGGCTCAAAGTAGGGTACCTACGACATGTAAAAT